TTCTCCGGCTTCTGTCCGAGGACGGGAGACGCAGAGTACTCACAAGTCTGGCACTGGAGTGACTGCGGATGAGAAAGCAGTTCAGTTATTCGCGGCTCTATCGCCCGACTTTTTCTCTGGCTTTAAACCCATGCATGCTGTGAAGCTCCCAATCCCTGATGGTGTTCCACTGCCCTTCTCACTAAAACCCTGGGTCTAGCCGGACCTCTCGGTATGGCCCATTCTCAGAAGAGTCGTGATTCTCCCGGCTCCCTACAGCAGGCTCTCTGCGGCTCTCACAGTTCTCAGCAGTCTGGGAGGACGAGCCGCCTCTGGTTGGAGATTCCACTCAAATGCCAAGTGAAGCCGGTTCTCACTGAGAATGTTACCTACACACATCAGAATCCACGCACACTCAAAAACTACAAGACAACGTGAGTAGTGACAGCTTTAGACTGGCCCCACAGCTTTCTAACAACGGCTCCTCCCTCTAGGGAGGCCCCGCCCAAAGCCCCTCCCTATCCCAATTAGGGACCAGATCTGAAACTCTGGAGTTGGTGTTCCCAGCCACTGGTCTGCATTCCACCCTGAAGAGCAGGTGCTTTGGGATGGAACCTCATAAGTGTATTAGATTTTGTACTACAAATTAAGAACTATGTCCCATCTATTTGGAAAAACGAATGGATTCTATCAAGCTAGATTTTTGTAACCATTTCAGGATTTCAGTTTTGTAAAGATTTAACATAGAGGAAGGTATTTGGCTACATTACCTTTTACAACAAACATATCAAAGATGACCCTAAATATTTTAAAAGAGATTATCTCCCTTATGAATTCCACAAAAGTGAGTGCTTTCAAACTTATCTTACTATAACCAACATGTCCAGCTCCTCTCAAACAGGGATGATAGAAATGAGACATAGAAATTTGAGGGTGGGAGATAGTTGGTAACATCTCTCTACCTGTGTGGGAAGTTTGGATGCTGTGTGCCATAATTTAACATGCCCTAAGGAATACATTTCAATTTTTAATAAATAGCACTTTAAGGAAAGTTTCCTTTAGCTCCAGCTTATACCCTGGGCTGTATCATAAGATCCTCAGTAAAAATGTGGAATAGTATTTTCTCCCCTCAATATGCTTATTCTTAAAAATAATTACCTTTGGGCTTTTTAAACAGATCACCTATTAAATTATGAGGACATGGTAAAGAGAGGGGAGAGTATTGCAATATATATTTCAGATACATAGTCATAAACTAACAATCTCCGTGCTAAATCCAAGACAACTGGGTATCCTGACATCATTTTTAAATATAACCTGTTCAAAACAGAAATAATCATTTGAGAAGTTCCATATATGGCCTCCTCAAGGTCCCATCTATGCTGATACCTACAGTTTCTCTCAGCCAGGTACAGAGGATACAATGGAAGACTCCAGAATGGGTGGAGCCACTCGAGGTAAGGAGACTGGATCCCTGAATCACCTGGGGAGGGGGCTACGTGATTGTGAAACAAAACTTTAGCATCTTAGGCCATGGTGTTTCGTAGTTGATTATTCCAGCAATTAGTTTACTCTGACTAATTTTAGATATTTAGGCAGGTAGAAGAGGGGTAAAGAGAATTCCAGGAAGCAGGTATAGTACATATGTTCATAGGGCATCAAATAGGAGGATATAATATGGAAACTGTAAGGGGTCATTATGGATAGAGCATGGAGTAAGTGTGGGCATGAAAATAGATGAAGCTAGACAGGTGGACTAATTTATTATTATTAATGTTGTTAATTATTATTTAATAATATAAATAATCGGTCATTATGGATAGAGCATGGAGTAAGTGTGGGCATGAAAATAGATGAAGCTAGACAGGTGAACTAATTTATTATTATTAATGTTGTTAATTATTATTTAATAATATAAATAATTATTAATGATATTAATAAATAATAATATTAAATATTAAACATAATATTAAATATTATTTATTTATAAATAATTTATAGTTATTATTTAATAATTTATAAACTATATAAATAATTTATAGTTACTAATGTTGTTTTCAGGCTTTCCTCTTTCCAGTTTATCTTAAAACACTTAACATGCCTTATTGAGATATAATTCAGATACTAATAAGTTCACCCATTTAGAGTATACAGTTCCATGGTTTTAGCATATTCACAGTGTGTGACCATCACCACTATCAATTTTAGCACGTTTATATAACCCTAAAGAGAAATCTCATACTCATTAACAGTTACTTCCCATTTTTCCCAAAACCTCCCAGCAGCCACTAACCTTTCTGTCCCTCTGGATTTGCCTATTTTAGACATTTCATATATATGGAATCTTACTGTATGAGGTCTTTTATGACTGGTTTCTTTCACTTAGCATGTCTTCAAGGTTCATTCATGTTGTATTTATATCAGTACTTTACTCTTTTTTATTGCCAAATAACATTTCATTGTATGGATACCACTGTTTTTTTTTTAATCCATTTATCAGTTGTGGGACATTTGGGTTGTTTTCATTTTTTGACTATTATGAAAAATGCTGCTATGAACATTCATATACAAATTTTTGTGCAAACATATATTTTCATTTCTCTTGGGTGGGATTGCTGGGTCATATAGTAACTCTAGGCTTAACCTTTTGAGGACCTTCCAGATTGTTTTTCAAAGTGACTGTACAGTTTACATTCCCACCAGCAGTGTATGGGGGTTCTAATATTTCCACATCTTTGGCAGCACTTATTATCTGTCCTTTTTATTATAG